GAAAATTAGGAAAAGAAATGATAGTACTTGAAAACGAGATAGAGAAAGAAAGAGAGAAAACACAAATGCAATCACATTTTCTAGGACGCAAAGGATTTTTTTATTTACTTTATAACATAATATGCCAAAAAATTAAAACAATTATCCCAATTTCTGCCCACAGTTTTCAGCATTGTGCAGCCTTTATTTAATGATACATCAAAACACATTCTCTGCCAATCTTTCTGTTGCTTAGGAACAGGCAGTCAAAAGCCTAAGCTCAGAGGCTCCAAAGTCGTCATTAAAAGGCTTTGTGCTCTGCTATCTGTGAAATGCTAATTCAGTAAGCCTGATTGATACCCTTCTCTTAGCAAGTTCCAGGAATGAGGACCCAGATCCTGCTAATTTGGCTAGCTCCCCTTTATTTGGCTCACTGTGGCTTAAGTAAAAAAATAAATAAATAAAGGGCTGCCAACCAGTGACTAAAAGTGTTTTGTTTCTGAAGAGCTGTTTCTCTTTGTTAGCACACTCCATGCTCTTCCCAAAACAAGATAGGAAAATTATTTAACCTTCTGCCTATATTTTCTCTTGAGCAAGCCATATTCCACCTGTATAATTGTTCACACCCTTTTCAATCACTTGGTTTTCAGTCACTTCTCAGACTCAACTTGTGCTTGTGGAGAAAAGAAAATGAACATACTTCTTTTGTTGGCATAACACTTAGGATAGGAGCCTTCTCCATAGTTAGGAACGCCGACTGCCTCTAAAAGTCCCCAACTGGGTCACACTTGGAACCCACAGCTCCCGATCTACTCGGTTCTCTGACTTACATCCACAAAAGCCAGCCACTGCCCACCCCACTAAGATGCCCTCTTAACTTGACCTGGAACAAAGTTTCTCCACCCTACAGGTCACTGAGGAACTGCCGCATCTCTTTCACCACCACAACTCAACTCCACCCACCATTCACACCTTCCCTGTGGCTGTGCCTCCTGCTGAGGCAGCCTGGTCTGCAGTGCAGGTTCCGCTCCTGTGTGCAGAGGGCAAGCTGGGGAGGGAGAGCCCCCTGCTATGGCCAGTTCCTTCCCCTCTCCGTTTCCTGGAGGTCAGTGTCTGGTGCGGCTTCTTTCTTCCTTCAGCGGTGGGAACAGGTCCCTCCTTTCCCTGTGCTAGGAAACCCAGCATCCCTCTTCTCCACCTTGGTGGAGACAGTGCTGCTTAGGTTGCCAGCATCCTAGTTCTTTTTATTTTATTTTATTTCACTTTATTTTATTTTATTTTTTTATACATGCTTGCAATGCATGATATTTACATTCATCTTGGGGCGCGGGTACATGTACACAACACGACTTATTTTTTTTATCCCCTTCCCACCCTGCTCCCTCTAAATCCCTTCTTGTTTTCATTCTTATTGTTCTTTGCTCATGTTTATGACATATAATATTCACATTCATTGTGAGTATTTGGTAATGGTAATGACACATCTCCATTCTCCTTGCTTCCCATACCCCTCCCTCTTCACCCCAAATCAGTGTCATGGACCCCTTCCCATTTGCAAGAGGTCCATCTCCTTGTTTCCTTTTATCTGTCTATCCTTTATTTGGCTCTTTTTGTACTTTACCCCACTCAACTGACAGTTACCATGAAGTGTTTAAGCTTGTGAGTCTGATTTATTTCACTCAACATTATATTTCCCATGTGCATCCATTTTTCCTACAAATGTCTCAAATTTATCCTTCTTTATAGCCAAGTAGTGTTCCACTGTGTATACATACCACATTTTCTTTATCTATTTGTGTATGGGTGGGCACACAGACTATGAAAATCAGTATGGAGATTTCTCAAAGAACTAAAGTTAAAAATTCCATATGACCCAGCTAGTCCCCTTGTAGATCTTTTCCTAAGAGTTAAGCCATCATATTACAGCAATACATGCAACCAGTGTTCATAGCAGCACAGTTCCTACTAGATAAGTCTTAGCAGCAGCCTGTGTGCATCCTAGCTCTTGATGCACAGAGGCTCAGTCCTTTATGAAAATAAGGATGCATCCAGCAGACCTCTACCTGCAGGAAACATGACCTGCCTAGCACCCCAGCCGCTGCGCTCTGCAACACACCACCATGTTTACAGCAAGATCACATTCCCTGAGCTGTTCCCAGTGCGTGAATGACATGACAGAGATACTGAGGCAGGCCGGCCCCTGGGAGGTTTGGCTCCAGAACTCCCCAAAGGCCATGGGGAAGACATGCTGTTAAACATGTCTGGATCCACATAGCCATCTGCGATGTTTCCCAGCTCTCCCCCACATCCATCTGGGTCTGTCAGCACCCTCCTCTCCCTGTTCTCTCACAATTCCCTCGTGACTGGGTACCTCAACCAAGACTTGTCACAATGAACCGTCTTAAAGTCTGCTTCTCAAAGGACCCAAGCTAACATGCCCTCTTGTCCGATTCCCTTCACTGGGTCTGTACACAAGTGACTTCTTGTTTGAGGCCCTCGCCATTGCTACAGTACTTACTGACATTTTCATCTGCTAATTCTTTGAGCTTTAGCTCCTGATGCTCAAGTGCTTTCTAAAGGCAACATTGTGAAGTACTTGGTCCCTGGCTGGCTGTCCCTTAGACCCACACTAACACCAAGCTTGGACTCATCCAGAGATGTTATGCCTACTGTCAAAACACATAGGGGTTGTCCCATGAAGCACTTGCTTACCCAAAGGTGTATCCCAGACAGTGCAGAGCCCCAAGAACCCTGCAGACAAGGCCAGTGACACCCCAAACTGGCCATAGGAGTCCACTACCAGTCTGTTTTCTGCTGATAATAGCACAGGGTCATAGAGTAGGTAAGCTAAAAAGAAAAGAAGCTCATTCTGCTTCAGAGTTCTGGTCCAAGGTCAAGGAGACAAATCTGGTGATGATCTCACTGCCAGGGTTTCCATCATGTATGCTGGGCATGACATGATGATGGACAGGTTGTGTGTGTGTGTGTGTGTGTGTCCTTTGGCTCTCCTTCCTCTTATAAAGCTACCCATGTCAATCATAGGCATTCCACCTCGATGATCTTATCTAATCTAATTCTGTTTCTGTCCTAAAGACTCCACCTCTAAACACTATAGTTAGGTTGAATTTCTACCATCTTGATACCTTAGCATGGAGACTTCACTCCAATTTGTGTTTTGGAGGCAATAAACCATATTCAAACAGTGATCTTGAGTGGTACAGATCTGAGGAGACTATTTCAGTCCTAAAAAGTTCCAGAGGAGTTTTCCTGGGTCTTTCAGGCCCCCTTTGCCACAAAATGATAGGTCTTCTCTCACTCTCATCTGTGTTTAAGAGCTCCTGAAGTGAGTTGGAGAGTGCTAGAAGAGTTCACAGATCAAACATATTCACTGAGCTTCATCCTGGAAGGTCCTAAAGCCTTGAATGGGCTGATCCCAACCCCACTGTGAATGATAGGCTAAGACCAACATGCTCCAGAAAGAAAAAAGATCTTAAATGTACATCTCTGACTAGCCATAAATCGTGCTTTCTTGCATGGCTAAAGATAGTAAAGATGGGACTACAAAAGATATGAAAGGGTCTCTAGATATTCTGTCATTATCAGAGTTCCAAACTCTGTGTGAGAGAGCACATGCATGCATACACACATACACACACACACACATGCAAACTTCAGGAAGAAATCTCAGATCTAAAAAGGATCTTGTAATACAGAGATGTTTGCTTCGGGGGTTGGAAACTATTTCAACATTAGCAAAGGAAAGACACATAGCTACTAAATTTCCTCTTAAGGCTTCAGAAATAGGGATTCTCATCCATGAAACAGCTTACTATTACATCACCAAGTTCATATACAGGGACCCAGAGAGAGTGAAAAAAATGGACAAGCAATATTTATTTCCCCTACTGTCATGAATGAGGATAGTAAGTGACAGCTGTAATCTTCATGCAACACAAATTGTGATAGCCAAAGACAAGGAGCTCAAAGATAACCTAAGAGACAATGCACAATACTCCCAGCCACAGACAAAACAATAATGGTAAGAGCCGGGCATGGCGGTGCACACCTGTAACCTCAGCACTCAGGAAGCTGAGGCAGGAGTATTGCTGTGAGTTCCAGGCCAGCCTGGACTACGTAATGAGACCTGTCTCAAAAGGAAAACAGCAATAATGGTAAGAAAACACACCTGTTCCTCTAACAGACTCTACGCCTTTCAAAAGTAACACAGACAGTGGTGGCTTGCCCTTGTTTAAGAACAAACACCCATATTTGAGGAGTCAAGGTCAAATACCTTCCTGGAAAGGAGAGGGTTCACCCTTTGAGATGAGCAGATGTCACTGCAGTGTCTTCACCGCATTAAAACTTCGGTGTAAATCTGATGACCTCATCTCCCTGCAGCCTGTGATTAATTCTATTTATAAAATAGAGCTCACAGATCAAAGTTAATCCTTTTCATGCCAAGCAGGTGGTACACAGTGATGGGTCACCCTGTCAAAGGGTAGGAAACTAAATCAGGCTGCTCTTCTTTGAAAGAGATTATATACACTGGGCTTTTACCTTTAAAAGGAGAGATTAAAGGACTCTGAGATTGAAGAATCTTTAATGCCCATTTGTTGATGCTATAACATTCTGTTTTAATTTTTAAAATTCTCTTCAGAAAAAAATAAAATTCTTCAAAAGTCTCTGACTTGTATTTTTATTTGCTGTCACTACACCTTTGCCAGCACTTCACCAACACACAGACACCTGTTTGTAGGTTCTATGCCTTTGAAAGAACTCTCAAAGTTCTGTCATAGAGTCCAAAAATGACATGAGTACCAAGAGCATCTGTACAGGATCCCAAGAGTATGGCTTCTGAGTGCCCAGGCTGGAATTTCAGTCCCGCACCTTATCGGCCGTGTGATCTTCAACAACCTATTTAAGCTCTGTGTCTCAGTTTCTTCACCTTTAAAATAAAACTGCCAGGCCTGGTGGCAAACGCCTGCAATCCAAGCACTCCAAAGGCTGAGGCAGGAGGATTGCCGGAAGTTCAAAGTCAACCTGGACTGCATAGCAAGACCCTGAAGAGAGAGAGAGAGAAAGGAAAGGAAGAAAGGGTTAGTTCCTGATTCATAAAGTTATTATGAAGATTGAACACATTAATATATAAAGTAAGGAGAATCCCTAAGATGCACACACACACACACCCTGCCAACCACACTATTACATCCCTAAACTGCTCCTCAGCTTGAGGTGAAAATGTCATAATCTCAATGTGTACACATTGTAAGAGAAGGAAGAAATAAGTTGAAGTATTTTCTTCCCGTCAGCACAGTTCTGTCTGACTAGCTCCCCGATTTTCTTTCATAGTTAGAGCTCAGTGTGGTTAATATCAGGTCTCTGTAGCATTAGGCCTCTGCAATATTAATACCCTTTAACTTAATGATTCTCATGAGCATCTTGTGAACTGAATACTGATTTGAAGATCTTAATTTCCTAGTGTGTAAATGAGTGCATATTAACAGAAATAGTTCAAATTTCACTGGGTTATGATTCTACTTGTCTTCAACATCCGCAGTCCTTCATGGCACCTTCTCTTATCACCAAGGACTCCAGAAGTTCGCAGAGAGTGAGTCATAAGTGCTCACAATAAATCTGCCCCCCGAGTGCTGGACCCCCACTGCCAAGTTCCTCTAGACACTACTACAATCTCCTATAGTGCTCTGCCTGTGCCTTGGGCTTGCGGGTCAATAGGGCCTTCCCAACTGGGCTCTTGTTAGGGCCCAGGTGATTTTTAAAGCTTTGATTAGTTTCTCTCACTATGTTCATTCTCCAACGGGATTCAGACTTGGGTAGGATGAGGAGATCAGGCCAGATTATATAACGATAAGAGCAACTGCATGTAAACCAGTTCTCTCCCTTCTGCATTGATGGCTGTTTTGATACTGAGCCCCTGAGTTGAGTTTTCCTGGAAGCACCTCAGTTCTCTTGTTAATAGCTGACTGGTGTTGAGTCCAGGGTGCTCTTACAAATTAAATATGACCTAAGCCCAAATCTTGACACTTCAAGAATAAGAACCATGCCCTGGACCATGGGTTTATTATTTTCTTAATGAAAATTGTAGTGAATTATTAAATGCCTAAGAGTTAACCAAAGAATACAGCACTTGATAAGAATCCTAATCAAAGCTTTTGGCACAACAAAGCCTTTCTTGCTGCTTATTATGAAAAAAATCCCATCCCCCCTGCTAGAAATAATCAAGCCATGTTTGAAACTTACAAAGGCATAACAACATGCAAACATTTTCATTCTTTTCCTTCCTAATAAATGAGATGCAAAATGAGTTCAGAAGCAGAAAAATGCCATGAGGAGATTTTGGATTTTTACCAGCAAGCTTTTTGGATGCAACACCCTGGAGCCTTTCTTAGTAGAACCAACAGATGGGACACAATATCCACCGATGAGCCATTATGGTCTTTGGTTGTTATTTTTCCTATGGTTCAGCTGGAACACATTCAGAAAAAATAATACACATTTCTGCAGCAGGTCTGCATTATAATTTGGGGGAGTAATCCACACTTTGTTTTCCCTTGTCTATTTCCCACTACCCGGAAAACTGAGCTTCTTTCTAGTTTTATTTGGATTTCACCGAGAGGAGGCAACTTGGCAAAATGCAGTGACACTGGGCTACAGTGGTTTGTAAAAATGTCAGTGGTCCCACATGGGAGTTGGTACATCTACCATTCAAACTAGATTGCATTGGCGGTGTTGGCAGTAATACGGGAGCATGTATGCAGTTATCACTAAAAGGCTTTTCATACTGTGACAATCAGCTCCCCTGGTCCCACACACTGCATTCATTTTCTAACTCGTTCATCATCTGAATGCAATGAGGGAATAATGGGATCTGTTCCTCACAGTTATCCGTCATTTAGCAAGGACACTGTGTTCAAATATTTTGGATGGAAAATGAAAGATAAATAAGAGGCTTATCAGTCCTAACATCTGACAGTCCTAGCAACTCATGAGCCCACAGCACAGTAAACAAATCCTTCAGCTAGGGGGAGGACCTCTCTAGCAGAGCCCACCAGGCAAGACCAAGCAGGCATAGCTCCACAAACATTTTCATTTTTAAATACCTCTTCCTGGGTAAACCTTTTAGCTATATTTAAATGTTCCCAACAAAATTAGAATAAGATTTTTATATCTTTTGAATCTATAAATCCTACTTTCAGAAATTTAACCTGAAAAATTCAGAACTGTGCATAAATATAAATATTTAAGGATGTTCATAGCCATGATATCTAAAGTAGTGAGAAAATGGAAACAACTTAAAATAACTTAAAATTCCAGGAAATGTAGATTACTTAAGTACATTGTAATATCCCATTTATCATAAATAGTACTTGTGAAGACTGTCTAAGTATATGGAGAAATAACTATATCAAGGGAAAACTTAGGTTAAAATAATAGGTATCCTCTATTGCCAGTGATATAAGAAAAAAGGTGTTAGTCATAATTCTTTCTAGACAGTAGAATTTTAAATAATGATTTTTCACTTCTATATTTTTGTATATTTTAATATTTTAACAAAAATACGTACCAAAAATCTATAATAAATGACACTTCCAATAATTCAAGAGTGATAAGAATAGCTTTCCTGGTTTATGATTATGTTGATTTTGTTATTTTAAAATATAAAGAAATAACCAAGCAACTACACACTGGAAGAAATTGGTAGCATTTAAGAAGACAAATCCAAAGCCAAAAAGGAAGTGAGGCAAAATGGAAAAGAGTCTAAAGGATTCTACACACTTACTGGAATATTCCTTGGTTTATTTTCTCCTCTAATTAGATATATTACCTCCCACCAGGGCAAGACACCACTATAGACGTGGCTACGTTGCCATATATGTAATATTCATTCACTGATTCACGAATTCCTTCTAAGTCTCTTCTCCAGAGAACTCAAAGATAAAATCCTTTCTGCCTTCGTAAAACTTCATGCCTCTTTTCACTGTTTCAGCCATCCCATGAGAGCGTTTGCTTATTCATTTACATTTACAGGTGGGAAAACAAGTTCGGAGCATGGGTATGTCTTGCCGCAGCCAGTGCAGACATCCGGGGCCTGTGGCCTAGCCTCTCGTTCCCCAAGACCGAGATTCTTCTGACTACACCAGAAGTTAAACCAGTGGCACGAGTTTTTTCAAATGAAATCCTATTTGCCAGATTTCACCCATTCCAATGAATGCTTTTTTAGTTTTGTTTGTAATATTTTAACCTGCCTGAAAACAACAAGCATCTTATAATTTCTATCAGCCAGGAAATAGTAGAAATGAAATTCTGGTAGCCTGCATGTTTTCATCTACTCTTAAAATACAGTATCAGTGGCTTGAAGAATGTTTTTAGGCAAAACATCTTTGATTTCCCGTCTTAAAAAATACAATAAGTTAGGCCCTTGCCTTTTCAAGTTCCTCAGATTTCTACTCCCCAAAACAAATAAATGCTCCAGCCACCGACCATGATGCAGTTCTTTCTTGAGGACTCCAAATTCTATTCTTTCTGTGTAGGCACTTTTAAAATTCCTTCTAACATACCTCATCATGCCTCTCGAAAAATAAAAGAAAAAAGTGCCAGAGGTAGTGGCTGAGTGTTCTTTCCGGAAATGCTGTTTTACCAACACTCTCGATGACACAGAGGATGGTATTATCTGGAAAACACAGATGGCAGAGATTCTGAGTCCAGGTCCAAAGAAGTTTAAGGAATACCTTCAGCAACTCACATTGTTTGCATGTCTAAATAAGCCTGAGAGAGTATTTGATAAATTATAGAAGTTTTTAAAAACAAGTGATAATGAGACTCTATATTATGGTTATTGTCCAGTCATTTTTCTCTTTCTTAATGATATAGTGAGGGGCTCCATATAGCAATCCATGGACTCCTAGATTTGGTATAACATTGCATAACCCCAACACTTTGGCATGGTTAATGAGGTGAAACTCTAAGCACTAAGTGAAATTCTTCAAAGGGTTTGGCAGCTCTCCTCCTCAAAGGGCAAAGGTCAGCACCATCAGGGTCCCTCGCAAAATTGGCCATTAGAATCATGTTGTGGAAGGGGCTGGGGATTTAGCTCAGCGGCAAAAGCGCCTGCCTGACAAGCGCAAGGTCGTGAGTTCGGTTCCCGGTACCGGAGAAAAACAAACAAACAAAAAAAGAATCATGTTGTGGAAATCTCTGAAAGACTTGTAATGGACTTGGTATTTCATGGACCACAGATTCTTTCTGCTTTTCTTTTGAACCACAGATTTTTGATAAGCCAACCTCCTAAGATTATTCTAAACTATATTCAAACAAAATGGGGTGGAAACATTACAGGCACAAAAGTATTAGAATCAAAATTCTCCACTTTCTCAAGTACATGTTTATTGGCAATGAAAACTTTAATTAATTGCTTAAGCTTTCTGTGCTTCTGTTCCCCTAGCCACAAATAATAACAACAGTAAGTTCATAGGATCTGGCAGAATAAAAGAAAATCCATGTCAAATACCAAAGGTATATTAAGCCTTCAACAAAATGCTTCCTATTTGGGGGAATGGGGATAAGAATAAAACTATAGATCTACTTTTGAGAGTCAGCCTCCTATCCTCCAACAAAATATGATCTACTGTTTGCTACCATCCCTGACAGATATTTATGGAGCACTTTCTTGGTGGACGATGCCCTCTAGGAGTTTATCATCTACTAGAAGGATGAAATACAGACAGCAGAAAAATAACCACAATACAAGACAGTAAATTAAGTGTTATGGAAAACAATATATTTGTAGAAAAGAGGGGGTTGCTTTTTTTCAAGAATGAGCGAGAAAGCATCCCAGAAGCGACAGGTTTTGGAGCTGCAGAGCAGCACTGCTCAGAAAAGCAAATAAGGAGTCATCAGAGTTTGGTGAACACAAGTGACCTACTCAAGGTCATGTTTTAGTGACCATTCTTTGTAGGTCTACAGGAATATATAGATCAGCTCCTCTTTTGAGGAGAGCAACAGAGACAAGTGACATTTTCCTGAAGAGTTGTCAAGTGTATTTAGCAATAGGTCAGCTCAGAAGGGAAGCAAGATTTTCAACAAAGAAGATTAAAAAGCTGTTAAAGTGAGGTAACAGGAAATGGCCATCCAGAATAAAACTATTGAATTCAGACTGCAACAACAACAAAAGATTTAAGTTAGAGCCACAGGTGGAGAGTTACAGGTTGAACGGGTTAGATTAGTGCAGGCAGGGGAGGAACGTGCTCCACGTAAAATACTCTATTTCAAGTGAAGTGAATGACTATGACAAACATTGAAATGATTAACTTGTGGCTTCAGCCTAAGGGAGGAATTGAAAAGCTGAATTAAATAAATTGCATTACTAATAGTGAGATTCAAAAAAATCACAATGGCCATTTGCTTTGTGGTTACCAAAGACACTGGACAATGAAATCCCTTGATGAAGGATGCATTTATCACAGAGTGGGAGAGAAATGATTCCAGGAAGCTGCCTTGATTTTTATTATCACTATCATAAAACCGTTATAGGATTATTAATATTGATGTTTGCTCGGGGATTTTTACATCACCATTAAAATCTGGCTTAAAATCTGCCTTCTGTGAAGCCCACAAAGCTGTTTGCATAACCCTAAATGCATGGCAAGAGTTCAGCTGGTTATTGTGAGCTCAGACATAGTTTTTATTCATCACTCTCCTAGTGTAATCACAAAGTTCATGGGAAACAATAAAAGACAGGAGAGTGTTTTCAGCTAACAGCTCCCCGAGACAATCTACTTGGGCTTTTGGTTTCACAAATCAAATAGGTTATTACAATCACGAACACAAAGGTTTTATGGAGCCTGTTAAACAACTAAAATTATACAGCTGAGGGATCCAAAATATGTTTGTTTAAACAGTTTGCTAGAGATAGAAAAATTAGGTCAGACACAGGTGGGAATTACTTAGGTTTACTCTTAAACCTTCAGAAAGTCAACACTGACCTCTTGACTTCTTCTCACCCCTTCTTTACATTTCTAGCCCAGAATGTATCTCTTGTCATTTTCCTCATATTTCCACTTCTCCATTTAAGATCAGAATTTCGCTCAACAGAAGCACAAAAGACATATATCATTTCTAGGGAAAATGGCTAAAGATGTAACCAGAAACTTTTACCATGGGCCAATCCTTCCTGAACCTGAACACAGATTCCTAAACTAAGGTAGGACAACCTGAGTGGGAACAATGACCTACACCCCAGCTTCCAGAGAATAAAGTATAGGAGAGATGGTTTCACAGTTTATACAGAAATATCTAACATCACAAAAGAACAGATGTCAGAAATAAGCCTGCACACTAACTCACAGTGAAGTTTTGCCAGAGAGGCAGATAGGGACCCGAGGATGAAGGCCACCATCAGAAAGAGAGCTTAGTTACAGAATAAAAACAGGTTGAAGGGCAGAACCTGAAGGGTGCATAAAAGAAAGAGACCTTCCTCGGAATCAGAGGCGTAGGACACCTTTCAGGTTTGACGTCCTTTGCCTCCGGGGGCTGCACAGTTCATAGGAATAGATGAAATAAGCACCAAAAATGTCCTCAGCCTTTGCTGCACACTAGAATAACTTGAAGATCGTTAAGTAACACTAATTCATGAGTTCCTGCTCAAAGATTCTTACAGTTTGTCTGAGATACAGCCTGAGGATCCAGATAGCTAGGTGCCCTAAGGTGATTCTGATATAAAGACAAGACTGAGAGCCACAGGCCTGGGGTAGTGTAACAGAGAGTGCTGAGTAGGCAGCTAATGAGAGAACCCAAGTCATGCTTAAACTATTCAGATTTTTTGGCTTTATAAATATTGTGCTGGCCAAACGATTTTCTGGAGCCCAACATAGACCAGTTCTCTGAGAAGATGAATGGGAGCTGAGACTTACTAGTTACTGAGAACCAACTTCATGTCACTCAGGGTCTCCTTTTATCCTTGTACTATCACCTAAAGAACACTGCCTAACACTGCCTAACACCAGGAGTGCTCAATAAACACTTGTAAATGCTGTCCCATTTGACAGATGAGAGACCAAAGGGAGGCTAAATACTGTACCCAAAGCCAGATGCTTAATAGAGAAAGAGTTAGGCTTTAAATTCAAATCAGACTCAATTTTACCCCTTGAGCAGGCTGCCGTAATCTTTGAGAGGTCTGAATTATCCACCACTATAAAGAGAAATGTGGTGTCAGAGGTCTGGTCTGGGATTTGTCATAGCTGCAAGTGGTATCTCTGATACACAGCAGCACCGGTTCTCATTTTCCAGAAACAACCTGATCACCAACTCGAAAGAGCACAGTGGGTTCCAAGGCCAAATGACAAAGCGAGTTGTTTTCACAAGCTAATAGTAATATTTACATGACGTTCCAAACTACTCCAAGAATTAACCCACTCAAAGTAAGCACTGTAACTCGAATATTTGCTATAGAAGATATGATAAGGTAGAATAACAGATTTAATACACCAACCAGCCCTCAGCTGCCTAAGGCAGTCAGTGAAAGAGATGCATAAATGTGCAAAAGAGAAGTATAAATGCCATAATAAGAAAGGAGAAAAAATAATAGCAACCAATATGTAGTGACAGCCATGAAGTCATTCGTGAAAAGGAAGGAAATGATAGAAGTAGCCTTGCATGACAGGCTTTGAAGAGCTTGAACTTTGTTCCACCCATGCTCTTTCACTGCCTAGAGCCCTCCTCTTTTCTATCTAGAGGTGGAATTCTTCTCTCAGGTATTTGTTCTCCTCTGGCCATGTCTCCAACTCTCCTCTGCCAAGACAGATAATTTTCTTGGGTCCAATCGCACATTATGTTCTACATATGTCTCTAATGTTGACAATTTACATCGTGCTTTTATGTATAAGTACACATCAAACATCCCCATTTGGAATAAGCTCTTTTAAAACACGAGGTAGGGGCTGGGGATTTAGCTCAGCGGCACAGCGCCTGCTTGGCAAGCTCAAGGTCGTGAGTTTGATTCCCGGTACCGGGAAAAAATAAATAAATAAATAAATAAATAAATAAAACACGAGGTAATCCATGATTTTCTTTGCATCCCTGACCCTTGACACAGTGCTTGGCCCAAACCATATGATAAATTCGTGAAAAAGTATTTTTGGAAAAGGAGGCCTTCAGATTCCTCTAACAGTAGCCATATGAGGAATTCTGTTCACCTACAAGCAATAGCAGACCTGATGTCAGATCCAGCTACATGGTCACCCCACAAAGCAGGCTGGGAAAGTTTCATTCCAGTGTGACTTCTAGGATGTTAAATCTGGTCCTAAAGTTGCATTCAAGAATTCTACAGCCGCCTGCCTGGCAAGTGCAAGGTCGTGAGTTCGGTTCCCGGTACCGGAGAAAAACCAAAAAAAAAAAAGAATTCCACAGCCATCTGAAATAAAACAAATATCATTTAATATTTACAGAACCATAATACCACAGATTTCCTGTAACCGAAAGTAGGCACTGATTGATCTATGCAAAATTTTGCTATTTTAAAAAAATCACAGAATATCGCAGAATGTTTCAGACCAATCAGCACTACCCAAAAAATGTATAGTGATGGCCTCAAAATGCTCTGGAAAAGGAAGATACACTATTCTTTTGGCCCTAAAATCACAAATTTAGAT